GATCTACTTCCATAGTGATACCACCTCAGAAACCCAAGGAGGGGTCACTATGAGTGTGGTCTGACTCAACGGCATATAACAACTACAACAACCTCACCCTAAGAGTGTGATAGCTGAGTTTCTGTGTGGGCTGTGGCCAGTGGAGAGCTCTACTAGAAATATGTATAGAAGTCTCCAGAAGGATCCTGTGTAATTTGAAAAGGTTTACAAATAAAATTATTATATTTTTCCCTATTTTACCACTAAAAATTATTTATCATGTTTTTTCTTATAATAAAAAATAAACATTTTTTTATTAATAAACATATACTAAATGCAAAATAGGAATTAAGTCTATAGTTATTTGCCTGCTTTCATTAGAAGATGTATTTACACGAGATGAAGTCAGTGAGTTGTAAAATTTTTAAAAAATAAATTTGAAAATAAGGCATGTTCAGAACAACTAAGTTCTAAAAGATCTACTCAGCATATAATCTTTAAATGCATTCTTAATTCTTAGTTTTTCAAATATATCTAAATTTACTCAAATATCTTCTTCCCTATGGGGAAACAGAAATAAAATGTTTACATTTTTTGCAATAACAAAAGCTGCTATTAAAGAACACATGTTCTACGAATAATTCCTTGTCTGCAGTCTACTCTGAGAGTTTAGTTTTCATAGGCCATGTCTTCTCGGACAGGGCACTTGGCCATCACAAACGATTGTGCATTCTCTGTGTGCGAGGGGTGACTGCCTCTACAAATCAAAAGGATCTGTTTCTCACTCTTTCAGCTTCCACTCACGCATTCAGAATTGTTCCCTGGCTGAAAAAGAGCACATTGATTTTGAGATTCTGTAGAATCAGAGAGATGTTTCAGGGATGGGAGAAGACAAACACTTCAGGACTGTGGAAGGAGGGGCCCAGGCAATCATAAATCAGAGAAAAATGTTGCCCTTGAAGAAAGAGCCACTAACCCTGGAGAGAAACTGCCTGGGCGCACTGATGACAGATGAGCCTATACCAGTTGGAGATGAGAGTTGCTCTGGCAGTGTTCAAAGAGTGGGTTGGAAGAAAGTGGTTAAATCATCCAGAATGGCCACAGCAGAGGAAGAAGTTGAGGGAAAGTCAGCACTGGATGAGATTCGAAAACCATCTGGGGGATTCATTACAGAAGGCACCAGGAAGCACTTTCCTCTGTTTCTCATTCTTCTGGCAAAAATACCAACCACTGAAACTCTGATCATCTTTGGAATTTGTGTCATTAGCCAGATTCCCCCAGTGAAACCTGAACCCTCCTCTTCCTGCTGCCTGTTTGTTCCACACAGGCCGTTCTCCAGAGGTTCGCTTTACAGCCAGAGAGTCTGAAAGGATACATTGCTAACTGATCACAAAGAGTCTCATGCAGGTCCCTAGACAGCACAGAGAAGGGAAGAGATTAGAAAGAACAAAAAAATTAAGTAAAGCAAAGGAAGAAATACTATGTACAAAACTTTCTAGCCATTCCCTAAGTATCTTCCCATAAACCAAGACCACATTAATCTCCCACAACATTGCTTTCACATGCCATTACCTTATGGGGACAAAGAATGGTTCAAGTACTTTAGTCTGGGACAGTACGCAGGGGCCACCATATCCTTGGAACCAATCTCTCCAGTGGTCTCTGTCCTCATTTCTTAGCCTAAGCACCATCTATCTACCACAAATCATGGATGTCAACACCGATGCCATTGTGCCTGGTGCCGCCTTCCTTGATATTGCTATTTCTGCCTAAAACATTGAATCTTACCTATTTTTCACATTCGTCAGAGGTCCTCATTGACTCCTCAGTGGAGCCTTTCTCTAGCATCTCAGGTGGGGACAGTGCTTCCTCCTCTGAACTCCTACTGAACTTCCTGCCTGCACTACTAACTTGACCTTTATCACATGCTATTGGTACTTCTCTAAGACAAATGTCAGCTTCCTTATCAAATCAGTTTTTCTTACAAAGGCAATCCATGTTCATCATAAAAAATATGGCACACACAGAAAAATACACACAAAAAAATGAAAATAGAAATCATTCATAATATGTCAAAAAATAAATACCTCCAAAAATAATTCCTTCCTATCCTACCAGTAGTGCCTGGTAGCGTAGTGCCTAAGGCACTTGACTGCTAACCAGAAGGCTGGCGGTTCAAACTCACCAGCCACTACTCGGAAGGAAGGTTGGGCAATCTACTTCCATAGTGATACTGCCTCGGAAACCCAAGAAGGGGTCACTATGAGTTGGGTGCAACTCCACGGCATATAACAACAACAACAAATAAAGTTTACACAATCTTTCATAAATATAAATTAGAATACATCACAGTATCCACCCCTGTGCCCTTCATATACAAAGTTTATTTAAAAAAAATTGTTTGGGCATGGAATAATATGTTTTGAGTATCTGTTATATGCAACACCAAGAGTCTCATAAATCAAGATTCATTCCCACACACACCAGATAAATGTAATCTTTCTTAATGTTATGAGAAGTATTTGCTACCCTGAGTTCAATAGGCTGTCTTTTCTCCATTGTCCCTGCTCTCCTCTTTATCTGTATATTAATCAATTTCATATTCTTTCAGTATTCTATTGCTTATAATTACAATGGTTAAGTGATTAGTACCTAAAGCATTTGATTGTTAAGCAGAAGGCTGGTGGTTCAAACCCACCAGCCACTCTTGGAAGGAAGACTACTTCCATAGAGATCTAAACTCACTGCCATAGAGTCAAATCCGACTCAGAAACCCAAGAAGGGGTTGCTATGAGTTGGATCCACGGCACCGAGTTTTTTTTTTTTTCGTTATGTAGAACACAAACTCTATGGTTTTTCATGAAATCAGCAAGAAGGAAATATTTTCTGCTCTGTTCTGTAAAGTCACAATGGGTCAGAATCAACTCAATGGTAGTGGGGTTTTTGGATTTTTAGGAAGTTCTTTTCTGAAAGAGCTTTCTCTCTCTCTTTAAAAAAATCACAGCCTTTTTATTCCCCCACCCCCCACCCCCAGGTATCTGAAGTTCCTTTTCCTGTATACTTAGTTTTGAGTTTACATTTTATGCATTTTTTCCTTTTATTTCTCAAGTACAGTAATTTGTGGTCAACTTCCCAGATGTAATTGCTTTTGTAGTTCTTCAAACACCTTATCAAAGAAGATTGCTTCTTTCTTTGAAATCCTGAACCAATCTTCAGGGCTAGAATTCATCTGAAGTGTTCTTGCTACTCTAGGTTCTCTCATCAGCCTCCGTAGACTTCTCTAATTAAGTCTATTGTACTATCTTGCTTCCCCCTTTTTCTCCAAATCCCATCTTCATGTGCCTTCCTCTCATCCCAGAAAACATTTCAGGAAATAAGAAAGCCAAACTAGTATTAAAAATATCACTGAACAAAAATGTTTTAAAGATCATAAAATCCATTTATTTTCATTGAGTCACTGGGTGGTGCGAACATCAATGAAGCAGGCTGCTAACCAAAAGGGTGGTGGGTCAAGTCCACCCAAGGACCTCAGAAGAAAGTTCTGATGATTTACTTCCGAAAGAATCAGCCTTTGAAAACCCTGTGGAGCACTTCTACCGAGACATATGTGGGATCACTATGAGTCAGAATCGGCCTGATGGCAACTGGTTAATGTTTTCATTTATATATGAAGACAAAATGTTAAATCTTAAAATTTTACCCTGAAATTGCAAGCAATATATGAACCCCTCCTCACCTTTTTCTTAGTCAATGTTTTAAGTTTGCAAAGTGTAAAGTTAGCCAGATTTCTAGGACTCTGGGTAGTAAGAATATGACAGGTTTTCTCTAGTTAGTACTATTACTTTCATTACGTAGTTAATAACTCATGATGGATGAGATAGTTAAGATTGTGTGTCAACTTGCCTGGGTTGCGGTTTTGAGTGGCTGGGCAGCTGGATGTAGTTATTCCCCATGATGAGACTGTAATCACCTCCATGGTGGAAGTGGCTGCGAGCCGCTAAGTAGTTGCCGTCAGGGTATGGCCTGCTTCCAGCATATAAGGAGAGGCTTTGAGAATGGTGTCTAGCTTTTTGGCATGTTTACATCCTGCATTTGGCCAAGACTTCATCCAGTGGCCTGCCACATTGCCTGCCAATCTTGGAGATGCTCCTTGACTTGAACCAGTGGTCTGTCATGTTGCCTGGCAATCTTGGGATTGTGCTATTTTTACCTGCTGACTTTGGGTTTGTCACCCTCAGCAGCCAGCAGCTACTTGAGATAGGAGATGCCTCCAGCTTTGATGGGCCTGGAATAAGAGGCAGAATTGAAGCCTAAGGTTGAGGGCCTTTACCCAGCCCCTGGAGCCAGCACTCTGAATTTGGGACTTCTAGATTAGGAGCTCTGGTAGCATAGTGGCTAAGACACTTGCCTGCTCACCAGACGGCTGGCGGTTCAAACCCACCAGCCACTCCTCGGAAGGAAGGTTGGGCAATCCTACTTCCGTAGTGATACTGCCTCGGAAACCCAAGGAGGGGTCGCTATGAGTCAGGGCCGACTCGACGGCACATAACAACAACAACAACAACAGCTTCATAAACCGCAAGAGAATAAATTTCTATTTGTGGAAACCATCCATTTGTGGTATGTCTGTTACAGCAGCACTAGAGAACCAAGACAGTAGGGGGAATGATTTTTTTCCTGAACTGTGTTGAAAATGGGGAGGAGGGGTATTTTAAAGTATAGATTTTGCTTTTTGGTTGTATTGTTTGGCTGATAGGTACTCTTGTCATTGTTCTCTGCTGGCCGAGTGGCATTTTCAGATTCACACATATGTCAGACAGCACTGGACTTCACACCTTCACACATATAAGCTCATTTGATCACCACATCAACTCCATGATAAAAGTATTATTTCTGCTTTACAGAGAAGAAAATGAGGTTCAGAGAGGTGAAGTAATTTGCCTGACGAACCAATCTCGAAATGGCAGAGCTGGTATTGGAACTCAGGTCTATGAAACAGTCTCTTTCCACAACTGATTTACCTCTGAAATAGCTTTGCCCCAGGCATAAGTGCCGTCTTCCGGTCTGCCTCCATTTAGATAAACCCACACTCGTTTTGTGTTGGGTTGCATACACAGGCTGCTCTGCTTGACTGCGATACGTTTAGTTGAAATTGGAGACTCTCCTTTGGATTGCAGTTCTTGGACTTCAGAAAGGTGTGCCTGTCAGGAAAAAAAAATCAATTTTTAGAGAATTGTGGGCTTAGCATGTATGTGCAAAATATGATGGAAGACAGAAACATTTTGTAATTTTAAATTATATTGAAATAATTGTAAGAAGCAACCATTAAATGCATCAGCCTCTCCTTTCAGTGACTCATACAAATTCTCCTTGCTTCAATGAGAGGAGTCACTAATGGCAATAATAATTATTATTATAGTAGTAATAATTATAAAGCACTTGTTTTGGCATAGCTCTTAACCTTCTCTTACAACTTGGAGAAATGAAGAGAGATGTGTTTCTGAACTTCTGCGCAGTGTTTCTCCTATTGAGTGTTTCTTTGTATCTAACAAACGAGTGTTTGATTACAATCACATCATTTCCTTTAACTAAGAAATGCTTAAGGGATTGTATATGATTGTTGTTTAAGGCCTTACTCACTGTCTTTTAAAATATAGTAGCAACCTTTATTCATAGCCAAATCCCTGCCAGCCAGCTTTTCATCCTACTTCAAGCATGTACTAGTTCAATGCTTTACATTCACCACCTGGCCAGTGATTTATCCTTCTTAGCTTGGCAAGAAGTCATATTTCTAGTGATGTCATATTTTTTGCCCTAGTAACTTTGACTTGGGCATACCCCTAAGATATAGATTGAACACACTCAATGACTTTGAGAAACCCTATTAAATAGGAACAAATCATTTTGATAAAAAACTTCACAAAGCCAAAAAGTTTTCCCAGATCTCTGTCCTCAATCCTCTCCCAAAGCTGACCTTTCTCTTCTCGACTTTTTTATGTCTGGCAATCCTGACTGATTGACCAATTGGACTGAAACCACTTTTTTAATTCCTCACTTCTGAATGTCTCCATTGCAATTAGTATTTTGGTCCTTGCTCCTTTTACATATTGAGACATACCCTTAGGAGTGATGAGCAATGAAGTCATAAGGCTCAACGTAACTACACTTATTATAATTACCTTTGTCCATATCCACTGGGCCTTTTTCTCTTCTTTGCTAAGGTCATAATTTCTGATCTTCATTCAAACAAAACATACTTTCATATGAGCTAGATGTCTTTTAGATAGCTACTCGCCAAATGCCAACTCAATGCTTGGCATATGCTTATGTGGTCATAACTGACCAGATGCTGAGAATATATTAATAGCATAATTTTAAAATTCAATATTACACTTTAAAAAGCTTATAAAAGAGCCTAGATCTTTAGTCTAGAGTTCTAAAAGAACATAACCACTGTGCCACCAGGGAGCCTTTCCTAATGAATGTACCTCTGTATGTTTTATAAGTTTCATGAGTTTCATTTCCTCTTGAGTCTGCTCAGTCCAGCCTCCCTCCACCACCACCGGCTGCACAGGGCTTTTGGTAGGAACCATGGTGGCCGGCTGGCATGCTGCTACTCTTCGGCCTGGGGAAAGAAGTCTCTGAAAATGTTGTTTCTGATGATAGGCTTTCAGATTTCAAAAGAAATTGGTTTGGTGTTCTATGCATAAATCATTCCGCGCAAGAGCACAGGTTCAACTACTAAATATGTCATAAAAGCAAAGATGCCGAAGGAAATAATATCTAACAATATCTCTTCATAAGGGAGCTTGAGGCTCTAAATAGCCAGCATACATATACTCTACAGACGGAAAAGAAAGATAACATGCTGACTTCCACACTAGCCCCAGCCTCCCATCCATGACATGGTTCAGCAGTAATTTAGTCAAATAGAATTCATGACCTATATAGTCCCCATCATCTCCTTCAGTCTTGGAACATATGTTTTGTTCTCTTCAGTAGTAATAAGCCTTTCCCCACAATTAGCTTAGTGGCCTGGGGATTAAGTATTTCTAAAATAATATTAACTCAAGAGACAGGAGCCCTTTTTGTTCCTAATAATACCCTATGAGCACAATTAGTTTCTGACACCTCTGCTGTGCCCTTTACAATGTTAAGAAGCTGTGGTAAGAGAAAATATTTATTGGAATATTGCATTTTAAAGAATCATAGGCATAATTTAATAAGTGTGGTGATTCAAATGTATACATTCTTTCAATTAGACCACCTAATATAGCTGGAAAAAAAGAGGTTAAAAAAATCACACTTAGGAAATTCATTTCTTTCTTTGTGTTGAAGACATACTCCTTTGAGCCTCATGCTGATTTTTAAACTTCATAAGTAAAAATAATGCTTCTTCTTATATATTCCTTCTAGAACTTACACTGACCACCAGCTATATGTCAGCACTGTGCTGAATGATGTAAATACAAATTTATTTAAGATCAAGTTCTTGCCTCAAGGGCTTAGTTTTCTGGATAAGGCCACGATAAGGAAATGGTTATACTAATAATTGATTGTAATTATGCTGTACCAGGTAACTCCAGGGTCTATGAGGGAATGTAACAGGGGTACCTGATCTGACCAGATATGTCAAAAAATGCTTCTTTCAGAAAGTAACACCTGCTGTTGTTGTTAGGTGCCGTCAAGTCATCTCTGACTCATAGCAACCCCATGTACAACAGAATGAAACACCACCCGATCCCATGCCAGCTCCATGATCTTTGCTATATTTGAGCCCATTGTCACAGCCACCGTGTCAATCCACCTCATTGAAGGCCTTCCCCTCTTTCATCGACCCTCCACCTTACCACATATCCCTTATGTGATAACAAGGGATATCACATCTGATATCAGCAATGATATCCCTTGTTCCACATCCTCTTCTGAATCCAGCTTGCACCTCTGGAAGTTCTCTGTCAATATACTGCTGCAACCATTTTTGAATTATCTTCAGTAACATTTTACTTGCATGAGATGTTAATGATATTGTTAGATAATTTCCACATTCTGTGGGATCACCTTTCTTTGTAATGGGCACAAATATGGATCTCTTCCAGTCAGTTTGCCAGGTAGCTTTCTTCCAAATCTCTTGGCATAACTGAGTGAGTGTCTCCAGTGGGGCTCTGTTTGTTGAAACATCTCAATGGGTACTCTGTCAATTCCTGGAGCCTTGTTCTTCACCAATTCTTTCAGTGAAGCTTTGACTTCTTCCTTCAATACCATCGGTTCTTGTTCATATGCCACTTCCTGAAATGGATAAAGATCTACCAGTTCTTTTTGGTACGATGACTCTGTGTATTCCTTCCATCTTCTTTTGATGCTTCCTGCATCATTCAATATTTTGCCCATAGAAACTTTTCATACTGTAACTCTAGGTTTAACTTTTTTCCTCAGTTCTTTCAGCTTGAGAAATGCCAAGCATGTTCTTCACTTTTGGTTTTCTAACTCCAGGTCTTTGCACATTTCATTAGGGTAATTGGTTTTGTCCACTAGAGCTGGTCTTTGAAATCTTCTGTTCAGTGCTTTTATCTTGTCATTTTTTCCATTTGCTTTAGCTACTCTCTGCTCAAGGGCATATTTCACAGTCTCTACTGACAACCATTTTGGCCTTTTCTTCTTTTCTCATCTTTTTAATGACCTCTTGCTTTCTTCATGGATGATGTTCTTGATGTCATCCCACAATTCTGGTTTTCAGTCATTGGTGTTCAATGCATCAAATCTATTCTTTAGATGATCTCTAAATTCAGGAGGGATATATTCCAGGTCATATTTTGGCTCTTGTGGACTTGTTTTAATTGTTTTCAACTTCAAGTGGAATTTGCATATGAGCGATTGATGATCTGTTCCACAATCAGATCCTGTCCTGGTTTTGGCTGAAGATACTGAGCTTTTCCATCACCTCTTGCCACAGATGTAGTCAACCTGATTACTGTGTACTCCATCTGGAAAAGTCCACACATATAGCCACCCTTTGTGTTGTTGAAAAAAGTTATTTGCAATGAATAAGTCATTGGTATTGCAAAATTCTATCACGCGATCTCCAGCACTATTTTTGTCACCAAGGCCAAATTTTCCAACTATTGGTGATTCTTCTTTGTTTCCAACTTTTGCATTCTAGTCACCAGTGATAATTAACACATCTTGATTGTATGTTCAGTCAATTTCAGACTGCAGAAGTTGATAAAAATCTTCATTTTCCTCGTCTTTGGCTTTCGTGAATCTAGGATAATAATTTTCCAACGACCAGTGATTCTTCTTTGTTTCCAACTTTTTCATTCCAGTCACCAGTGATAATTAACACATCCTGATTGCATGTTTGGTCAATTTCAGACTGTAGTAGCTGATAAAATTCTTCAATTTCCTCATGTGTGGCTTTGGTGGTTGGGGCATAAATTTGAATAACAGTCATATTAACAGGTCTTCATTGTAGGCGTATGGATATTATCCTATCACTGACAGCACTGTACTTCAGAACAGATCTTGAAACATCCTCTGTGATGATGAATGTCACGCCATTCATCTTCAAATTGTCATTCCTGGCATAGTAGATCATATAGTTATCTGATTCAAAAGGGCAGAACCACTCCATTAGCTCACTAATGCCTAGCATATCAATCTGTATGCATTCCATTTCATTTCTGAAAACTTCCAATTTTCCTAGATTCATGTTTTGTACATTCCATGTTCCTATTATTAATAGATGTTTGCAGCTGTTTCTCCTCAATTTAGGTCATGCCACATCAGCAAATGGAGGTCTGGAAAGCTTTCGTTGTTGTTGTTGTTAAGTGCCGTCGAGTCGTTTCCGACTCATAGCAACCCCATGCACAGCAGAACGAAACACTGCCCGATCCCGTGCCAGCCCCACATCCCTGCTATACTTGATCCCATCATCGCAGCCACCCTATCAATCCATCTCATTGAAGGCCTCCCCCTCTTTCGTCGACCCTCCACCCTACCAAG